ACGTCCTGGATATTCCTGGATCCATCTTTAATATAAGGTGCCAGTAAGAGGCCCTGTTTGATGCTTTAAGGTAGACTTGCATTTAAAATTTTCCCCTTTCCCTGCCTTCTCTAGTTTTAGTTGTGCATGTTATATTATTCTATTTTGTTTCCTCTCTTAACATATCAATTATGTTGTTGTTGTTAAGTGCTGTTGAGTCGTTTCCGACTCATAGCGACCCCATGCACAGCAGAACAAAACACTGCCCTATCCCGCGCCAGCCCCACAATCCCTGCTATACTTGAGCCCATCATCGCAGCCACCATGTCAATCCATCTCGTTGAAGGCCTCCCCCTTTTTCGTCAACCCTCCACCCTACCAAGCATGACATCCTTCTCCAGGGAATGGTCCCTTCTTACAACATGACCAAAATAGGTGAGACGAAGTCTGGCCATTCTTGCTTCCAAGGAGCATTCTGGCTGCACTTCCTCCAGGACAGGTTTGTTAGTTCTTTTAGCAGTCCATGGTACTTTCAGCATTCTTCACCAGCACCACAACTCAAAAGCATCAACTCTTCTTCGGTCTTCCTTATTCATTGTCCAGCTCTCATATGCATACAAGGCCATTGGAAATATCATGGCTTGTGTCAGGCACACCTTAGTCCTCAAGGAGATATCCTTGCTCCTCAGCACTTGAAACAGTTCCTTCACAGTTGACTTTCCCAATGCTACACGTCGTCTAATGTCCTGACTGCTGCTTCCATTGGCATCGATTGTAGAACAAAGCAACATGAATTCCTTGACAACCTCAATCTTCTCTCCATTTATTGTGATGCTGCTCATTGGTCCAGTTGTAAGGATTTTTGTTTTCTTTATATTGAGATGTAATCCATACAGCAGACTGTATTCTTCAACTTTCATCAGTAGGTGCCTTCAGTCATCCTCACTTTCAGCAAGCAAAGTTGTATCATCTGCATATCTCAGATTGTTAATGATTCTTCCTCCAATCCTGATACCACGTTTTTCTTCATATAGTCCATATCAATTATCAATTATACATCCTTTAAAAAAAAAACTTGCATAGGTTTCTTAGAGTTTTCAATATACATTTTTTAACTAATTTAAATCTACCCTCAAACAATACTAAACCACTTCACAGGGAGTGCAAGTACCTTATAACAGAGTAATACCAATTCTTCCCTCCCCTTCTTTATGATAATGCTATCATTCTTACTTATTCATATGCTATAATTATCCAATACATTGTTACTATAATTATTTAAACAAGCAGTTATCTTTTAGAATAAGATTAAGGAAAAAAATATTTTACCTTCATTGACTCCTTGCCTGATGCTCTTCCTTTCTTTGTGTAGATCTGAGCTTCTGATTCATTTTCCTGCTCCCTCAAGAACTTCTTTTATCGTTTCTTTCAGAGAGTCCGTGATGAACTCCCTCAGTTTTTTATTTTCAAAGGAAGCTTTTCTTTCTTCATGTTTTAAGGATATTTTTGCTGAATATAGAGTTCTAGGGAAATGTCTTTTTTTCTTTGAACACTTTAATTACTCTGTTCTATTCTTACTTGTATGGTTTCTGATAAGAACTGTACCAAGTGTTCCCCTCTCATCCTCTCATCTTGGCTTCTTTTAAGATTTGCTCTTTGTCTTTGGTTTCTGTAGATTTAAAATGGTACAACTCCAAGTAGGGTTTTGTGGGGCTTATGTTTCATTCATTTATTTATTTATGTGATTTGGGTATTTATTGTGTTTGGTGTTCTCTGGGCTTCCTGGCTTGATGTCTATTATTAAATTTAGAACATTCCTGGCCACTAAAACTTCAAACATTTCGTTTCCTTTCTTTCTTTCTTCTTCTGGAAGTCTAATTATGTGGATGTTACACCTTTTGAAATTGTTTCACAATTCTGGATGTTTTATTCTTTTATTGTTATTATTTTCTCTTTGCATTTCAGTTTGTGAAGTTCCTCCTGACTTATCTTCAAGCTCACTGATTCTTTCCTTGACCATATCCTGTCTACTGATAAGCCCATCAAAGTCATTATTTACTTCTAGTATTTCCTTTTGATTCTTTGTTAGAATTTCCATCTCTCTGCTTACATTACCCATCTATTCTTGTATGGTGTCTACTTTTTTTCATTTGATCCCTAGCTTATTATAATCATAATTTTTTTTAATTCCTTGTCTGATAATTACAACATCTGTGTCATATTTGATTCTGTTCTAATACTTGCATTGTCCCTTCAGACTGTTTTTTCTTTGCCTTTCACCATGCCACCTAAGGCATTTGACTGCTAACCAGAAGGCTGGCAGTTCAAACCCACAAGCCACTCCTTGGAAGGAAGGTTGGACAATCTACTTCTGTAGTAATACCACCTCGGAAACCCAAGGAAGGGTTGCTGTGAGTCGGATCGGCCTGGACCACAGTGAGTTTGGTCTTTGTAACTTAAAAAAAAAAAAAAAAAAAAGCTGAACATGATGTAGCAAGTAATAGGAACTAAGAGACCACTAGCCTATTTATGTTAATCCTGCTAGGAGTTAGGCTGTGCTTAATGTTTGCTGTAGCTGTAGGTGGCAGAGGCTTCAAATTTCTCTGGAGTCTTTGTTTTCCTCTTCCCTGTTGACTTGGGGCTTCCTTAACTACTCCTTCTCAGGAGAGAGTCTTTATCTTGCAGCTGTTTCAGTTATAATCCATAGCTATGAGAAGAAGCACTGTTGCTGCGGTGCTCAGATATGAAGAAGGGAAAGCATTCTATAATCTTATGATTAAATCTTTTAGTGGGCCTGTGTCCTTGGGATGCAACCATCACAAGTATTTCTTAATTTCCCATTTTCCCTAGGTAAAACCAGAAGGCTAGAAGCGGCTGGAGTGGCAATAGTGCCGTACCCTTAGGTGGGATAACATTCTGGTAAAGTCTAGAAAAGGCCTGGAGAGTAGGCCTTTGTTATGGAGAACAAACACACTCTAGGAATATTTCACAATAATTAATTTTCCTTTTCCTCTGCCAGATCCAGCAGGGGATCTTTATTGGCTCATGAGAATTTGGTGGGGTTCCTGGGGGTAAAGCCCACAAAGTGTGGGGGTCCTTCTAAGACTATGGTTTCCAAAAGTTTCTCACTCTCCTGCTAGTCCACTTTTGCTGTTGTTGTTGTTATGTGCCATCAAGTCGGACCCGACTCATAGCGACCCCTCCTTGGGTTTCCGAGCCAGTATCACTATGGAAGTAGATTGCCCAACCTTCCTTCCGAGGAGTGGCTGGTGGGTTTGAACCACCAGTGTTCTGGTTAGCAGTCAAGTGCCTTAGGCACTATTCTACCAGAGCTCCTTATTCCACCTTCAGCATCCAGCAATTAGCCAAAATACCACTTGGACTATTCCTCTAGTCTATAGTTCAGGAGTTTCTGCTCCAGGACAGCAAATCTGGCTGTAACTCTCTGGACTCACCTGTCTCACCAGAAGTTGGGGTCGCAGTTTGCCCTGTAAACTCAGTTCTCAGATGGAACTAAGAAAAGTCATTGATGTTCAGCTTGATTAGTTTTTTCTTGTTTCAAGGACTGGAATGATTATATGTTAAAGCTTTTTTTTTTTTTAACAATTAACAGCCAGCTGGAATGTTCCCTTTTCTGAAACAACAGTGGAGGATGTGCACATTGTCTAACATAAACCAGCAGATTGACATGGGACCCATGTAGCTTCTCACATCTCACTGCTCCCAAAGGCTAGACTGTGAGATATTATTTTCAAGGTCTTCTTTCTGTCCTTTCCACCCATAGAGATTGTGTTTTCACTAATGTGATCCTACTTTCTCCGTTTAAAACTGGTTGGCGCCAAGGGATTTAATCTATTGTGTTATCTACTCAATGCAGAGTCATGGTGTTTTTATAAATATTTGAAATGTTTTTGAAATATGTCTTGTGTTTTAAAAAGTAACTCTTTTTTTCAAGATCACTGGTGAATAATAGACTTTTTATTCATTTATTTTGTTCATTTGTGTATAAATTTACTCACCAAATACTTGTTGGTTACCTCCCAAGTATAAAACCCCCTGCTACATCTCTGGGAGACATACAATCCAGAAATTGCTGACATTCCAAGTGGGAGTTTCATGGGTATGAATACATTGCAGAATACTGAAACTGACAAATAAGACGATTTATGAGATTAGAAGGGAAGGAGATTGGACTCACCTGAGGTAACCAGGGCATCATTAAGAGCTGGTCCTCAGATTTGATGTTGAGAGTTCTATCAGTCAGAGTCTAGGTAGGAAACAAAAAATACACTAATACAAGGTAACTGAGAAAATATTAATAAAAGGGTTATTGATAGAAGTGAGGGGAAAATCTAAGAGTACCTAATATGAGGTAGCACTGGCAAGGAAGCTGTTTCCACAGCTAGGTGTGACAGGTGCAAGGGAATGGGATGGTTATCAGGCACAGAATGTGCTCTGGCCCTAGCTGCAACTCTAGAAGATGTTCACATGCCAGGAGCTGCAGATTTTGTAAAGAACTGTGTCTACTGCTAACCTGAAGCCTGGCAGGGAGAGGATGGAGAAAATAAATGTTCTGACCCCACTCTCCTGTTTTCTGATTTCCTACTGATATGTCCATTGGCTGAACCCAAATGGAAGTCATAGGGTAAACCTAAAGAGGTCAGCTTCCTGGGGAGCAAAGAGGAATGGAGAAAAGTGTACAGCAGATCTAGAGGAGATAATAGAGAATATCCCATTCAAAGGAGTTCTGTTCTTTTGGAATCTGGGATGAAGGATCTGGTGGGGCACTGATGGCCACAAGTCCTTAATTTGAGGTGGGAGTGCAGAGAAAAACCATGTTGAAAACTATTTCCACCTCTATTATCATATCTTGACTCTATCCACATAATGACCTTAAACCTCTCCTCCCAGGAACTATCTCTAAGCAGTATAAATGTCTGACAACATAGTGATTTATTTTAGAAAGGATTTCAATGGAGTAAGAGTGAAACTGGTGGTAAAAACTCATTTTTCTCTTAAAGCCTTCTAGCAGCAGGTGGAGGAAACCGTCGAACTGCCAATGTGGTGGCACATGGTTTTGCCAATCTTTTAACACTGGACAAAAAGACCCTCCAAGAAATTCTACTGCACTATCCAGATTCTGAAAAGCTCCTCATGAAGAAAGCCAGGTACAACTTTTAAAATTCCATTAGAGATGGGGGTTGGTTTTAGTTTGTAAATGCTTAAGATGAGGAGAATTATGTTATGATGTAGTAATCAACTATCGCCACATGATAACAAACAACTGTCTGTTAAGGTGTCCTTTAAAAACAGACTAGAAGAAGGTTTTCTTGGTAGATTTTGCCAGAACTCTCACAGAGCTATCTAAAATAGCTTTTATCTTCCATTCACAGAGTGCTTCTGAAGCAGAAAGCTCAGGCCACAGAGGCAACCCTTCCAAGAAAAGGATTTGCTTTTCTTTTCCCCCCTAAAGAAGAGACACCCAAAATATTTAAAGCTCTACTTGGAGGTACAGGAAAAGCAGGTCTTGCAAGACTACTCAAATTGAAGAGAGAACAAACAGCTCAGGTAATAAGACAGACTTAATGGAAGGTTGTAACAGATGTAACACTGGACTAAATGCACCCAGGCAAGCTGTTATTTTAATTCCACTTCTGACACTGGGACATTGTTTTGTTGTTGTTAGGTACTATTGAGTTTGTTCCAACTCATAGAAACCCTATGTACAACAGAACAAAACACTGTCAAATAAACATATAACTCATTTTATCAACAAGGTAGTAAATTATATTTTCACAAATATTCAATCAAATGTACATCACAAATTCTTAAGCCAGAAAGGATCTTGTAGATTTCATCTAAGCCCTTCATATTATAAAGAAACTGAGATCCAGATCGAGGAATTTGGCTAATATCACAATTTGTGACAGAGTAAAAATGACTGCTCAGCTATTCAGATTTCCAAACCTACACCAAGCTGCCTCCCAATACCTAGAAAAGTGAAGAAACTCAAATGCTATTGTTTCTCTCTCTTTTTTTTTTTTTTTAAATAATTTTTCTTTGATTCTCATAATTAGTCTATGATGGCAGATACTGAGAAACAGATTAGGGATTCAGTTTTGCTGAGTCTAGTCATATTATCTCTCAAAATGTAAGAAATGGATAGATGAGGGCCTTTCAGAAAATAGGTAAAGCAAATATTATAAAGTCAGCATTATTCAAGTGACTTCCCTCTTCCTTCTCTATACACACACTAGTGAAAATCAGGGATACAGTTTAAAGCAAATGCCTCCTTTACATCAGGGTAGAATAATTTGCATAAAAGAGGTATGGGAGTGGAGAAATATATAAGTGAAAGTATTAAGTTCTCAACTGTATATGTACACATTCGTATTTCATACAAGCCTTTCAAACTGATCCCAAGCATCATCACTAAAGAACACAGCATGTTTTACTATGAACTTTCTATAGATGATACTAAACAGATTCCAAAATTATAGCTCAAGCACCCATGGGACAAATGGAAAAGACTGTAATAGGAAAGATGAGTTTCATCCTGAGGGACTCCCATGAGTGTATGCAGCCGGAATACCCTACTTCTATAGTATTTTTACAGTGTTTGGTTAACACTGTTTTTATTAAAAGGAAATAAAGAAAGAAATATTTAAGAGCAAAAACAAAGACTCCTTAGCACTGGGCCTAATGATTCCAAGTATGAGGACCAATACAAAGACAAAAATACAATCGAAACCAACCCCGTAAATCAAAAGTGACAGCTCAGCCCCATTCTCCAACACAGCAGAAAACAGTCAAACGATAGTCAAATGCATAGGGAGACCTGATTCCCATATTAATTCAGAACTTAATTCAGAAGGTCTTTCCCTTGGCAGTGATTCTTAGCCACTGTATGCTAATCAAAAGAATCTGAAGTCCTTGCTTTTGATTCAGTACCTATTCTTTGTAACTGCTCCTTCCAGAAGAAAAGTGGAAACTCCAACACAGAGTGTGACGGAAAAGGATATGAAGATAAAGGAAGGAAGCCAGCAAAGAAACCAGTGGACAGACCCAACTGTGGAGTAAGTCCTATTACAGTGAAGCAAACGCCCCAATCGATTGGAAGGGCAGTTTTATTACCCAGAGGAGCTATCTATCAATCACTCATCATCAGTATGGCTCCTGCTGAGGCTGGAGAAGAGGTTCTGACTATTGAAGTCACAGAAAAGGTTAAGTAATAAATGTTTGATTGTCTTTAGATGTAATCTAGCTAGTTCCCAAAGAGATTGTATCCAGGATTGTAGCTTAAATTAATGAGGAGAAAAGACCTTGCCAGCACCCTTGAGAAACCACAGGCAAATCCCTAGCTTAGTTTCTAGGATTTGTCTGAGAGTGTGATTTTATGCAGTAATAATAAGAAGATTATTAAAAACTATCCCTATGCTCCATTGTCATTAGCTTTGTGCAATTGCTATTTCTTCTAATTGTAGTCGGGTTTATTTCCTTTTCTTTCCAGATGATGTTTCTTGCCTCCATTTTGATTGGTCTGATCTTGTCTCTGATGTGATTCATTATCCTGGTCTCTTAAAAATGTGTGTGTGTGTGTGTGTGTGTAAATTCTTGGATGGCACTGTCAATCATGGTCAGGTGTTCTGTATAACTGAATGTTCTCTCTTACTCACCAGGAGACTGAGATTTTAATAAAATATGTCAAAAGTCAGGGAATTGCCATTCAAGTGAGTTTGATGAGTCACCGTAATATCTAAACAACCAAGCAGCTAGGTCTGAAGAGAAGCAGAAATCACAGATCCTTCTGGATGCAAAATCTGACCTCTAGAAGAGTCTACTGAAGGGCGATGTTGGTCAGCAGGACTAACAGATTGTCAAAATCACATTGCAGCATGATGTTAGAAAAATTGTACCCTTTGTTAAAGAAATGAACATTAGGATTTTCCCCTCACATCATATAAAATGCAAGAGGCTATTAAGACCTGGACTCAATAGGGATCAGATCTTCCCTGTCTTCATTTATCAGAATGCCATTTCTCAGAATCTTCTTCAAGCTCTTGCTTCAAAAGGTAACCAATCTGAGCTTTTTATTTTAAGCTTTAGCAAAATGTGATAAGGTTAGGAAGGCAGACTGTACACATGTCAAATTGACATATCCCCACAATTTGCAGAACCTACATGTACCACTGTTTACAAAATCTCCAAGTTAATTAAGTGCACTTTAGGAAGTTGTCCTCATGAATCAGCTAGCATTAGCATAATTACCAACATCTCATGCTGTGAGGAGGCTAAAAAAGCCAGGCTAATGTAGGAAGTAATAATACATATAGAATTTCATTCTAATAAATGCCATTAGTGTATAACATCAAGTTCTGTATAATAAGACTATTTCCAAGTCGCAGAAGATGGTCATTGCACCGGTACTTTGCTGAGACTGTTTTAATAAATTATATTACTGAAAAAGCCTACAACATAGATGCATTCAGCAAACCATGTACAAATCAATCACTATAATGACATACATCATTTGCTAAAGTCACTATATTGGAATGTAGTGTTTGAGTATCATAAAACATGGCAAATTTTACAAAAGGTTAGTTGGTGTTTTCCAAGAATTGAGGGAATATGGAGAAACTGTTGTATAGCCCTTACTTGAAAAAATGAAATTTGTGGGTAGAAAGCGTAATTAGAAGAGCCAGAAAGGAAAACTGAAATAGGGCCTCAAAAGGTCTGATAATAGGAAAAACAAAGGAAAGAAAAATCCAAAACTTGTGAATGGTATGCTCCCCCCTTACACCTATAATTTTATTCAGAAGAAATTAAAAATATAACACCATTGCCATTTATGATCTTCTCCTGTTACTTATTTTCCTTCCCAAACTATCCTATTTGAGACAATATAATCTTAATTATTCCAATCCCTCAGCCTAAATTTTAAAAATAATCAGTAACTCTTTCATTGCCTACAGTCACTAAATCCTTTTTCTTTCCTAACTCTAATTGTCCTCTCCTTTCCAAGTCCAATGCCAACACTGGAAGAAAAAAAAGAAGAAGATGAATCTCACTGCCATTGAGTCTATTCTGACCCATAGTGACCCTGCTTTGGGTTTCTGAGGCAGTAAGCTCCATCCTCCTCCCACAAAGTGGCTGGTGGGTTTGAACTGCCAACCTTCTGGTTAACAGTCAAATGCCCTAAGCACTGCACCACCCAGAGCTCCTTTACCAACACATTAGTTCATATTTTCTGTTCAATGCAAATAAACATTTCATTTTCACCTACAGACTGCTCTAATCACTGGTCGACCCTGTTAGTCTTATTTCCATGGAAAACCACATCTTTCCAAAATACTACTTTTGATCATGTCACTTCTCTGCTCAGGTACCTAGTAGTCCCTTCTACCAATTTTAAGCCTTATTTATCCAAATTAGCACTACCCCTGACCATATTCTCCACTCAAGATGGTCTCCTCGTTTCTTCTTGAACCCCCACCTGCCTTTCTTCCTCTGGCCTTTGTCTGCACGGCCTGTTACACTTTGGATGTTTCTCTCTCCTCCATCAGTTACCTCTTTTCTATACTTCTGAATCTGGTCATACTTTCTCTCAACTGCCTCTGAAAACATCAACCCATGACAGCTCTACTCTTTAGGGTTTATCTTTACAGGAGGTACAGAGTCAATACTCCACTGGTCTCTAATTTCAGCTTAATTGTAAATTATAAAAGGGCAAACATTAGCTCTTCTGTTGTATTTGTATAAAGACAGAAAGCCCAGATTTTTACAAGGGGAGAGAATATGAATAGGTAATTCACAGAAGAAAAACAAATAGGAAATTGACATAGAAAAGATGCTTGACTTCACTTGGGCTTACAAAATACAAATCAGAACAACAGTGGAATACCACTTTATACCTGTCAAACTGGAAAATATTTGAAAGAAGATAATAATACCAAGTGCTGGCAAGTATGTCAACTGGAGGCACCACTCTGACAGTACTTAGCAAAATGAAGTACCTGTATAACTTTATAGTAGGAGCTCTGGTAGCATAGTGCCTAAGGCACTTGACTGCTAACCAGAAGGCTGGCGGTTCAAACCCACCAGCCACTCCTCAGAAGGAAGGTTAGTCAATCTATTTCCATAGTGATACTGCCTCGGAAACCCAAGGAGGGGTTGCTATGAGTTGGGTCCAACTTGATGGCACATAACAACAACATACCTTTATAGTAATCCCTGGGTGGTATGACTGGTTAACACACTCAGCTGCTAGCTGAAAGTTGGAGGTTCAAGTCCACCCAGAGATGCCTTGGAAGAAAGGCCTAGAGATCTACTGCCAAAAATTTAGGCATTGAAAACACTACAGATAAAATTCTGCTTTCACATACAGAGGGTTGCCGTGAACCAGGACTGACTGGACCACAACTTTATAACCCAGCAGTCCCACTTCAGAGTATATATTCCACAGAAATTCTCAAGCAGACCCAGAAGACAAAACACATGAGGATCCACAACATGGTTTGTAATACAAAGGAACTGGAGGCAACTCTAATGTCTCCCACTAGAAGAATGCTGTTGTTGCTAGGTGCCATCAAGTTGGTTCTGACTCATAGCCACCCTATGTCCAACAGAATGAAACACTGCCCGGTCCTGCACCATCTCACAATTGTTGCTGTGCTTGAGCCCAGTGTTGCAGCCCCTCTGTCAACCCACCTTATTGAGGTCCTCCTTTTTTTCACTGACTCTCTACCAAGCATGATATCCTTCTCCAGGAACTGGTACCTTCTGATACCTCGGCCAAAGTATGAAAGACTAAGTCTGGCCATCCTCACATCTGGGGAACATTCCAGCCATACTTCTTTCAAGATATATTTGTTCATTCTTCTGGCAGCCCATGGTATATTCATAATAATACTTAATTTTGTCTTTTCCAGCCACTCTTTGAAATCTTTTGTTCAGCTCTTTTACACCATCATCTTCCACTTGCTTTAACTCCATTCAAGAGCAAATTTCGGAGTCTTTGCTGATATCCATTTTGTTCTTCTCTTTCTTTCCTGTCTTTTTAATGACCTTTGCTTTCTTCATTTCCTTATGTCATCACACAACTTGTCTGGTCTTCAGTTACTGGTGTTCAATGCGCTAAATCTATTCCTGAGATGGTCTCTAAATTAAGATGGGATGTACTCAAGGTCATATTTTGGCTCTTATGGACTTGTTTTTTCTTCAGCTTCAAGTTGAATTTGGGTATAAGCAACTGATGATCTGTTCCACAGTCATCGCCTGGCTTGTTCTGAATGATGATATTGAACTTCTATCTTTTCTGACAGATATAGACAATTTGATTCCTGCTATATTCCATCTGATGTGATCCACATATATAGTCCCTGTTTATGTTGTTGAAAAAAGGTATCTTCAATGAATAAGACATTTGTTGTTGTTATGTGCCATAGAGTTGAACCCAACTCATAGCTACCCCTGCTTAAGCTTCTGAGGCAGTATCACTATGGAAGTAGATTGGCCAACCTTCCTTCTGAGGAGTGGGTGGTAGGTTTGAACCACCAGCCTTCTGGTTAGCAGTCAAGTGCCTTAGGCACTATGCTACCAGAGATCCTTAGTCTTGCAAAATTCTATTATGCAATCTCTGGTATTATTTCTATCACCAAGACCATATTTTCCAACTAACCATCCTTCTTTGTTTCCCACTTTCATATTTGAATCACTAGTAATTATCAATCCACGTTGATTGCATGTGTCACCAATTTCAGACTGGATAAATTGATCAAAAATTTGTGATTGGTGTAAATTTGAACAGTAGTAGTATTAACTGGTCCTCTTTGTATGTGTATGGATATTATCCTATCACGGACAGCACTGTACTGAAGGATAGATTTGAAAGGTTCTTTTTGACAATGAATGTGACACCATTGCTCTTTAATCTGTCATTCCTGTCATATGGTCTGTCATAGTAGACCATATGATTGATCAAAATGACAATTACCTATTTCATCTTACTGATGCCTAGGAAGGAACTCTGGTAGCATAGTGGCTCAGGCACTTGACTGCTAACCAGAAGGTTGGCGGTTCAAACCCACCAGCCACTCCTCGGAAGGAAGATGGGGCAATCTACTTCCGTAGTGATACTGCCTAGGAAACCCAAGGAGTGGTTGCTATGAGTCAGGGCCGACTCGACGGCACACAACAACAACAACAACAATGCCTAGGATATAGATCTTTATTT